AAATATCAAACTGTTTATTACAACTATGAATCCATACAATATAAAAGCATACAAACCAGGAACAATTTTCTCAACTAAAACCTTTTAAATCTCAAAATTTAAAACTGCTCTACTTAACTGTTTTTTAGAAAAGTATTATTTATAAATCTTATACATTTCTACAACTTATTATTTATAACCCTAACTCTGAGTCTTTATTTTTATAATATTTTTTCTCTTTTTTATTGTGATATAATACTAAATTTAATATCTTTTATTATTTCAATTTTTCTTAAACTGAAATAATCTCATTAGTATTCTCTTCATCACTATTATTGTTATTATTACTATACTTTTATCATAATAAATATTATTATTCTTACTGTTGTTGTTATTGTTATAACTAGTTTTGTATTATTGTTTTTGTTATATTATTATTGTTGTTGTTATTATTGTTACTATAATTATTTTTTATTGTTATTATTATAGTATATACTTTTTATAATTGCTAGAATTATTTTAAATTACAATAATCACTACTATTATTTTCATTATTCTTACTTGTATTATAATAATTAATATTATATTCATTTTATTATTCTTGAAAAGGTATTTACTTCATATTAGTACTTATTACTATTTGCAAATATACTTGATTTAAAACTCTATTCAGAATATATTTGATCTGATTTGATTTGCTCGCTCATACTTTGTTCTTTATTTAAAGCAATGTTTTCAGACCTTGTTCATGTACTTTGTTCATGTATCTTGCTCTACAATTATATACAAATTATGGATTTCAAGCAGTATTAAAATTGCCATAAAATGAAGTTTCTGAAATGCAATAAACTGGGCTTTTTTTTCGTCCATTTGAAATTGGTTTCTTATTTATATACAAAAATTTAGCTTCATACTATTATGAAGAAACAAGTACTGTAAATATATGCAACTTTGCTGAATGGGAACTCACATGTTAAAAGTGATGATAGTTTGCTTGAGTGATCACAATAGTATTTATAGAAAGTGAGGCAGTCTAACAATGATAATTTGGTCAAACAACATTTACACTGCAATTTTGGACCTTGTCTAAAAAACTTCATTAGGCAGAATTAGCTTGTTTACTTAGCAGTATAAGTAAGGGGTTAAAACTAACTTTTTCCAGATTTTGTTTAGTTTAACCACTTTTGCTTAACTAATTTTTTATGCTGATTTCGAATTAATTTTTTTTATTATAAATATTTAGCCTTCCTACTTCAATTTCAATAAAAATGATTATTTTGACAAAACAATAAATGTATAAATTAAATAAAACCATTATTAATATCAAAGTAGAATACATGGTAAATATTTTTATTTTTATTTTATCAATAAAATACATAATCATTATATATAGTTATTAATACAACAAAAAATTAAGCATTATACATTTATTCCATGTAAGTAACAATTAGTAACAAATACTAGTAAAAATGTGAAATAACTTTATAGTAGCCATGGTGCAGTGATAAGAGTTCTTTCTCAAAATAATAAGGTCTGAGGTTCAATGTCGGCTCTGACCAGATAAGGGACATTGGTAATTAAAGGAGGTGTGAACTTCCTAGTTATATTGCTCTTCCATGATCCTTTGTCATAAGATTCACAGTGCTTTGTCATAAGATTCACAGTGCTTTGTCATAAGATTCACAGTGCTTTGTCATAAGATTCTTAGTTCTTTTAGTAGCACCTTAACAACTAAAACAAAAAAGTCATTGTTGGTGATAGTAGATTGTTGTGAGGACTTTTCAGATAGAAACTATTAACTTATTCATCTACAGACATAAGACGGTGTTTTTTTGTATTTTTATTTACAATTATGATTTCAAATGGAACTGGCTGCAATGATCTACTGTATAACTTAAAAAACACCCCATTCATCGATTGTTTTTGACATTCAGCAGACCTTTCTCTTTTTCAATACATTTATTGACATCTGACTCGCAAGTAAATGGACTGCCTTGTAATTTAAGATATAATTAACCTTGGAGAAAACTTACAGTTCTTTTTTTGCTAACCTGCTCTGTCTCAGTTTCTGTCACTGCTTCCGACTGTATTTTATATTTTTAAATATAAAATACAGTCAGTAAAGTATTAAATATTTTAACAATGAGACACATTTCCCAAAATATCTTTAAATTACCTGAATCTTTCATTTCATAATTTTTAGGATATTTAAGTATATTACCACAAGGAATTTTTGTAATCATCTGTATTTCAAAAGCAATGAGTGCCACGATGATGCTTCCATTTCAATTCAACAAAGCCAATGTTATTTGTAATTGTTTTAAAAATTGTAAAAATCAGATTAAAAACGTAATACATCAGTTATTCCATTATTGTATCTTTTTCCAAACCCATAATACCTTTTTATTTTCTGTTGAAGCAAAATTTTGATAGCTGAATTCTAAAATAATTGATAGCTAAATTTTTCCAAAACTATATTTGCAAGAATGATACAACCATATACAACCATCCAAGTTTTTTGATGCGTATATACAAAATTCTTCTACAACTACTGAGCAGTCAATCTTATTTAATGAAAAGTTCCAAAAGATAATTTATTGTTTGACTTCATTAAAAACAAGCACAAAAACAACCCTGAGTAAAGGCAACTTTGTATGATAAAATTTGTCAACTATCCCTATAACATTTTAAAGTTATGTTACGTCTCAATCGGTTACAATCGGTAACAAGGTTACATTCTCTAATTTTTGTTTAAATAAGTAAATAAAATAAGTAAAATAAAATAAGTAAGTAAAATAAAAAAAAGTAAAATAAAATAAGTAAGTTTAAATAAGTAAAATTAAATAAGTAAATAAACTTGATAATGCAATAAATGTTTGTTTATCGTTGCCGTATTGCTAAATACTATCTTATATTTTATTTTTATTGTAAAATATCATCGTCTTAATTGATTACTTTGTCTCGAATAAAAAATAAAGTTGTTTTTTTTTTTTAACTTTATGTGTAACCATTTGAGACTTAACGCAATCTAACTAAATATAGATTTGAGACATAACTAAAATACGTCTCAAACATAGATTATTTTAAAGTTACGTTATGTCATAATTTGTAACACTTTAAAAAAAAAAAAAAGACGTAATGTAAAGTAAAAAACAAATTATATTTGTGACCTTTAAAAGTTGTATTTACCTTAAAGAAGACTTTTTTAAAAACTAACCCACAAGCGTGGGTGAATTTTTTATAATTTTTTTAAATACAATAGTTTTGACAAACGCGTCATTTATGTATTCGACTATTGCATTTTCAATAATCAAATATATAAATAATATTGTTAATAAAACAATTTTGTTAAACACTATACCTCATGATCATGACCCCTATAACATTTTAAAGTTACGTTACATATTGCAAACGGGATTCGTTACGTTTTGTGCAAAATGTCCACTATTTTTATGTAACCGAGATGTAACATTTTACATAACACTGTAACGTAACGTTACGTGCAAAATGTCCGTTATTTTTACATAACCAAGACTTAACATTGTAACGTAACGCTATATCAAAAATATTACATATAAATACGTAATATTTTGATCTAATATCACGTAACACTGTAATCTATAGTATCTATCACTATATTCTTTTTATAGCTATAAATAGAGAGAGAGAGGGAGATAGAAGGAGAAATAAGTGAAGTTAAGTCAGAGTGTAGACAGATATTGCACAGATAGTGCAATCTATACACATTATTGCCTTAAGCTATAAAATGTGTGCAATAAATTACATTATTTCATAAGAAAGGTTGACATTTATATACATATTTGCTCATGAGTTTATAAAAACGCAAAAACATAATGTAATGTAACAAAATTTAGATATGACACATAGTTAAAATACATCTCAAATATAGATTTTTTTAACTTTAAGTTACGTTTCAGTCTACACTTTTTAAAAGTTGCACTTTCATAAGTTAAAATAAAATAATTGAAACGTAACTTTGCGAATTGAAACTTTTTTTTGCAGTTAAAATAAACGATAATAATTAGCAATTTAAAAAAAATATTATTTAGTTACAAATGTCTTGACAAACGCATTGTTAAGTACCATAACTGATGAGTTACGGTAATTAACAAAATTGTTTTAAATAATGTGTGAAAAATATAATAAAATAATATGATATAAACATAATTTTAAAATATATATATATTAATGTTCTAAACTACTATTCTAAAAAGAACAAGAATCTAAATCTTAACATATTCAATTTATTGTTTTACAATATAGAACTTGTATATATTTAATTTGCATATTGTAAAAACTATTTATAATATTATAGCTTTGGTGAAAATATTGCTTTAATATCAACACAATCTCAAGATTTCTTCTGCACTATTTTTCCAAACTTTTATTAATTACTCATAATTAAAAATGTAACAAGTAGGTATCTTAATGCTGTAATGTTCAACATTACAGTATTCATATTAATTCTTTTACCTTTAATTTTTAAATGTTACAACTAATCTCATTTTAATTTTTTTATGTAACAACCAACTTTATTTTTTCAAATTCAACTTTAATTAAACATTTTTTACATAAAAAAAATTCTTCCACTAAACAAAACTAAACAAAAAAACTTCAGTAATAGTATAGGATTTTTCTGCATAATCCCATAATCACTTGCGCAAACATAAAATATTTTTAAATTTTATTTATGGCCATGCAAACCTTTGTTATTGCCATAATTTAAAAAGAAAATTATGTCTTTTTTAATCAGAAGTTTATTTCACTACAATTTTTTTCAGGTTATCTTAAATTTACTTGAAGATTAATTTGAATTGTTAATGGCAAATTTGCAAAAAAAAATTTTGTCAAATAAAAATTATTAAATAAAATCAATTTTTTAAACCTTAGCCAACAGATTTTTAATGCCTTTATTTTTATTTGTGTGCAAAATTTTTTTATTACATAGTTCAAATAAAAAACAACAATGTGAAAAAAAATTATTTGGCTATTATACATACCATTAAATTTTCTGGTTTAATATCTCTATGAACAATATCTCTTCTATGCAGGTAGCTTAGTCCACTGCACAAGTCTCTTGTAAATAAAGCAGCTTCATGCTCTTCAAAACACACATTTTCTGATATTAAATCAAATAAATCACCACCTGTTACTAATTCCATAATGAGAAAAATTGTTGTTGGTGATCGAAAATCAGAAAATAATGTTACAATATTTGGATGGGAACTCGCACGTTGTATTGTTATTTCGTTATCAAGCATTTCATGTCTATCTTTTAACTTTAACATATCAATTATTTTTATTGCATACTTTATATTTGTTTTTTTATCAATGGCTTCCTTGACAACAGCAAAATTTCCATCACCTAGCTGCTTACCTAAGTCAAAGTACAATTCTATATCTTTATGATCTGCAATGACAAAACTGCTTTTTTCAAATTCAAAATTATCGTTATTATTTTGTTTAGTGCTGCTCATTTGTGATCCAATATTTATTCTTTCTTTTTCATCGTCTTCTTTAATGCTTGGTTTTTCATCATCAACTTCTGAGGCAGATAAATTTTCAACTGTATTACTTTTTGAATTTGAAATACTTTCTTGATCATCAGATGAAAGAAAAGCTTCATTATGATTATCAAAAGATGATTCTAAATAAACTTCTTCTTTTTCTTCTTTCTTGATACTATCTTCTTTATGAGTAAAATCATTATCTGAATCAAGTATAACATGTTCTTGAACATTTTTATCATCAGTTAAAAATTTTTTCATAGAATTCTGTGTTGGATTTTTTGGTGTGGAATTTGATAATTTAAATTTTGCATGAATTTCTTTTTTAATGTCTGGAAGTTTAGATACTTTAAAAACTTCTGCATTAGATGGATTGACATTTAAAGAGCCTCCAATTTTAGAATTAGTTAAGATCAACTTATTTAAACTTTGTTTTTTTTTGCTTTTTAAATTATTTTTTCCTGAAGACGGTGATTCGATCACACTAGGAATGTAAATATCATTAATTTCAACTTTCTTTTTACTTCTATCAATACCAAAAGTTTGAAGTATTGCTTGAAGATCAGACTGTTGAAATTTTTCACTACCTACTGCTATAAAAATATCTTCTTCACCAAACAGTTCAGATAAGCTTAAAACTAGTTTACCATCAAGATTAAAGAGTTTTCTTACGCCAGTAACTCCTTCAATTCCAACAGAAGAAGTAATATCATTCAAAACTTGATCAAAAGTTTGAGCAGTTCTTTTATTCAACAAAATTTTAATGCACCTTTTTTGTCGAACTAAAGATAAGTTATTTCGAATAACAGTAATAACTCGTGGTCTTGGGCTAAAATGCAGACTATCTTTTTCTGTATACATTTTCATAGGAGGAACTGGAATAAAATGCTTTTGAACTTTTTTTCTTTCAGATCCATCTGGTGCATGTTGATAATTAATTTTTTTAAGTTTTGGATGGGAACCACAGACATAAGATTGTCCATCTGCTAATTCATCTAATGATTCGATACGAGTACCAGTAGTTGGTGTGAATACATACCTAACTCCTTGTGTCAAGTTTGTAATTCGTGTTAACTCGCTTAAAAGGTTCTGAAAACTATTAAATCTTCTTTCCGTTACACTAATATGATATCCTCGAAAATTTCGATCACCATTTTTATAAAACAAAACAGTTTTTGGTTTCATCAAAGTATTGGGTGGTGGAAATGAAGCCTTTAACTTAGATGTCATTTTATATTTGTAATTATTCTCAAGAGGATACCGATGAAATAAAGATTGATTTAAAGACTTAGATTGGAAATTCGTTTTAAAAACCATTACTACAGAATTTCTTTAAATATAAACATTGTTTCCTTATAAGTAATCACAATCTTCGTTGGAAAGTTTGAATACATTTGCTTGTATACAATATTTTAAAACGTATGGCTGCAGAAATTATATGTGCTTATTATGTACGAAATCGAAATAATTTGTGAAAAGTAAACATTTTTTCAATGCCCTTGACGACTAAGTAATCAGCTCGCTTCATCGTGTTTTTAATAGTTGATATGAAAACGCACGAAAGTAACTAAGTTACGAACGCAATACAGTTAATTTAAAATCAGTTACGGAAAATTGAAAATTAAAGCATCGTCTCCTAACTTATAAAAACAATCGTAATAAATGTGAAACGTCTTGGAAAAAAGGTAAAAACAAAAAATATGAGAAAATTCAGCGGTTTAAGAAATTATGCGAGTGAGTTTTTAAAACAAAACTTTTAATGTTTAAACTCCTAACTAATGCCTAACAAAAACTTGTATATCTTGTTGAAAATAGTAAATTTTCAACAATTACCAAAAGGTTATAAAATTCGCAAATTATTTCAAAATAGATTTAGAAAATGCTTACAACATGCGGAAAAAAACTGCTAAAAAAATTAAAAGAATAGGATATGCAAATATAATTTTATATATATATATATATATATATATATATATATATATATATATATATATATATATATATATATATATATATATATATATATATATATATATAGAGAGAGAGAGAGAGAGAGAGAGAGAGAGAGAGACTTCGTATCTTATATTAAGAAAAGATTGCAGAGACTTCGTATCTTATTTTAAGAAAAGATTGCAGAGATTTTGTTCATATCTTATTTTAAGAAAAGATTGCAGAGACTTCGTATCTTATTTGAGTCATTGTCTAGACAATGACTCAAATAAGATAGAGTTATTACATTGTAATGTAGTTATATTGCAAACAGAGGATTTATAAAAACAGATGTCTGTTTTCATAAATCCTCCATTTGTAATGTAAATGTTTCCTTGCAGTGGCGTTCCTAGTTTTGGTGTCACCCGGGGCGGCAAATAGGGTGTCACCCATATATTATATGTAATTATTTTTATATACGAAATTATTAAAGCAGTATTTAGAAACGTTGACACGTGTAATTTTAAACCTTGTTTTCAACAATAATAATTTAGTGTCAATAACTCTTTATAAATAATTCTCGTCGAGAATTATTTATAAAGACAGAGAAAATAATTATTTATATACAGAGAAAATAATTATTTGAAAATAAATTGTTGCCAAATAATTATTATCTTTGTTTTAGACGATAATAAATTATTATCATCTAAAATCGTCTAAAATCAGCTTTATTCTTTTATATGCTTAAAAAAACAGTAGTACCTGGATTTGATTTGATAGTAAAATATAATAATAAAATAGCAAACCTACTGAAAGAAAGAAAGCTAAGCGATTATATTTTCTAAATAATGATAACTATATCTTTTAGCATTTAGCATTTCGTAGGTCGTGTAAATAAATGCCCACTTATTTTTTTATGTAAGACTGTTTAATTATAAACCAAAATAAAATGTAAGATATTAATAAATTGGGTGTCACCCAAAAGTGGATAACACCCGGGGCGGTGAGCAAATACAGTAATAAATACAGTTTTGCAAATACAGTAATAAAAAACAATTATCAAGTAGTTTGAATTTTATTTACACAACTAATTGACATTTAAAAATATATTTAAAAAATTTATCTCGGTCAAGGTAATTCCGGCCCAGAATTATATAGTTACATAATTTTATAAGGAAAAGTAAATTATTTATAAATAAAAATTAATTATTTATGAAAAAAGTTTTTATTTGTAAAAGTATATTATTTATGAAAGTAATCTTAAGTAAAAATAAGTAAAAAAAATAAAAATTGCATCATAGTAACTCATTTTTATGTTTGAAAGTAACTAATAATTAAAGGCAGCTTTATAAAAAATTTTCAAAAAGACTTTTTTTTTCAAGTAAAAGTTTTTATAGTTATAAAAAGTTTTTTTACTTTTTATTTGTTAAATAATAAATATTAGAGTAGAACGGGACTAGTTGAACTTATTTTAACTCGATAAAAATTCTAAAAATCGATAAAAATTCTAAAACATTAGCTACGGGCTTTACATTCCTTTAAAACAAATTATAAAAAGTTTTTCAAACTCAAACACAATTTGATAACTATCGATATTTTAAACAGCTTTGAAATTTAGATTATTTCACTGTGCAAAAATATTTACCACGCAGAGTAAAAATATGTCGGAAAACTAACGGGTCGGGGAAGAATACGAGTACGTACGCGGTTCGCTTTCTTAACTTGCAGTTAAGAGAGCGAAACGCGTACGTACTCGCCAAACACCATAGTGTTTCGGTAAATAGTAATAGTCAATTTTACGGTATGGAAACTCTACTCTTGACACGTTTTATCCTTTTTGTTATAGAGGGTTTTAAACACGCGACAGAAACCATGCGAAACTTTTTTTCGACTTGTGCCGACTGGTGTAGATATCCCCATACTCACTGCATTTCACTCTGTTATACAATTTTCACTCTGTTATACAATATCCTTATCAAGTTGCTTTATAGGTAAAGACCAAAGTAAAGACCAAAACTTGTTTTAAGTAAAGATTACTATTAACTGTAATTCAAAATTATTTAAAATATAAATTTTTAAAAGCAAGTTTTTAAGTAAAATTAAAACTCACAAGACCTTATTAATCTTTTAATAGTTAATTTAGTTTACATTTGATAGTATATAATATAATAATATAATTTGATAGTATATGAAAAGTAAGTAGAACCATCCTTATTTTTAATTTAATAAATTATGTTTCTATTTTCGAGGTTATTAATTTAGGATTTTATTAATAATTTAAGATTTAACGCGGTTGTTAAGTTGAGTAAAATCTAGTATTAGGGCGGGCACTTTTTTTTCCTGATCGTTAAAGTAATAAAAAAGAAATAAAATAAAAAGATTAGGTAAAGACGAGTAATTTTTGCAGGGAAATAATTTCGCCACACCAACAAAAAACATCCAAAAATATTTATTTGTTTGAATATTTTAATTATTTTGGGATATTGTAGCAAAATAAACAATTATTTTAATAATTTAGGATTAAATTTTTTTTTTTTTCACATTATACAGTGTTTCCAAAAAGTATTTTTTAAACTTTTTTATCTTAAATGAAGGGGTTTTTCATAAAGTATGAACGCAGGTGTGTGAGCAAGTTATCCAAAAACGTACGGATGCGTACTGGAGGAGAAGGTTAAAGATGGAGAAAAATACATATATCTCACCATTCTATATCTCTTCTAAAACTTGATTTTTTTTAACACGAGTTTAAGAAATCAATGTCGCAGAGAAATGTTGAATTAAGTAAAAGTTTTAAGAATTAGGTTTTTTTTGTTTTTATGTTTTGAGTTAATTTTGAAATAAATAATACCTACGTTCGCAGTGGCGGGGTTGTTGAAAGCATCAGATGCGTACAAGGGGGGAGAAAGAGTTCTAAAACAGTAGTTTTACTGTATATATTCTTTATGAATGGCTTCCAACTTCAAATGAGTATAATTAGTTAACAATAAAAGGTTTAGGCAAGGCGTTTGCAATACGCTTAATATGCCAATTGCGTATAATACATTCAAGAAAGTTACTCTATAAGAAACAGAATTTAAGTTATTTATGGTGTTTTAAATTTATCAATTCGTTTTTTAATAACCTTGTCTAAATTGCCTTAAGTATGCTGACTATTGCATTAGCCTGTTGAAACTACTATACTAGGTTGCTAATTTCGTCATTTTAAAGCATTTTAAAATCCAAGTTTTGCATGAAAGTTTATAAATCTGAAACACTTTTTTTCAGCTTTTGTATAATAGATATATCCACAAGGCATCGATATGCAAGATTTATTGGCGCTATAAAAGCAACGATTGTTTATAAACAAAAAAAAGTAGCTTAATAAGTAGAAATTACTTAACTTTACCTTACTTGATTAATAGTTTTCTTCTGATATACTATTCCGAACTCTTTTATTATTCTAAATCTTTAATTTATTAATTATAAATAAAAAATTCGAGAAAAAAAAAAATCGTTATTATTTTCTACCTAAATTAACCTGTTTAATAAACGTCTATACAATGTCTAATAGACATCTTTACAATATCTACAAGCTCGTAGGGCTTCCTAAAGACGTTTAGCTGAAGTCCTGTGCCCACTGTGAAAGGATTATTATATGTTTTGAGTAGCGAAAGGCGTTTTATATTTATAATTTTGTAACGGGAAAACTTACATATTAATCTACCCAAGTTTGTCAAATTTTTTGCAAATTATTTAAGTAACATAAGACGTCTAAAATTAACTATAGTTTTGCGGAGATGCAGATCCCATATCGGTTTATGTTTTTATAATCGATCTACAACAGTAATTTAAATAAATTAGAGGGGCAGCGGGCATCGGCAGCTTTGAATGTGCACAAACAAGAAAGTTTTTTTTTATAATATGTAAAAGCTTATTTTTGTATTAAATTCTATACTTTTATAAAACAAAGAGAATGTTAATAAATAATATAAAAGTATATAAGTTAAACGAAATGGGAACATATAAATTCATAAATTCTGATTCATACTATTTAAAAAGATAACAATCGCTGTACAATAAAGTAAAAACAGATGGATTGATTTTAATAATTAAAAAAAAAGAATTTAAACTATTACATAGTTGGATATTTGTAATAGTTTATTTTAAATAAAATTACCTCATAATCTTAGTGTCAAAGAATACGATTGTTTTTTTTCAAAATCAGTAAAAGTAATAACCACAGTTTATCAGAACTTTTACGTTAACATTGCATGATGTTGTTTTTTCTATTTATTTTATTAATTTATTTCATTTGTACACGTTGCCAAGATACATCGAGAAATTCTTTTTATTTATGTTTTTAATTTATAACCTATAAAGACTTTAAGAGTTTTGTTTTTTTGTACCTTTGAAAAATATATAAGTATGCAATCATAGACAACCAATCGGCATATTTTAAAAAACATTATTATTTTTTTAATATCTATATTATGATTTATAATATTATACGGGCAGGACTTCAAGAAGTTTGTAATGACCTTATCACAAAGCCCTGATTATCACAGAGCCCTGGTTATCACAAAGCCCTGGTTATTACAAAGCCCTTAACAAAACTCTATTTTCCTCTACAATAAAAACATATACTATATAAAATAAATATATACCGATCTTTGTCTTTTTCTAATGATTTATATTTTGATTCTTCGATATTTGAAAAAGTATTCAAATGTTTTTCCTGAATTCATTTTTTTAGTTCTGTTTTAGGAATTGGTAAAGGCAAGTGAGACTTTAGTGTACTATATCTTAGCCCTTGCATTAAAACAGAGGTTTTAAAACACGCAGAAACTTTAATGTAGGAGGGCATGTTTCTAAATGTGTTGATATTCTGAAGTCTTTTTTTTTTTGTTTATATTAGCAATGCAATCAGTTAGTGCTCCAATATATTTTTTATTGAATGGAAATACTCCGGTATTGGCAAAAGCGCGTTGAACATTTGTTGGTGCTGCACATTTTAAATTGTATAAAAAGCAGCAGCATATAAATGTGGCACAACTCTACCTGGATGTTGCCATAGCAAGTTCTGAATCTTTTGATAAGAGCCGAATTCGATATTAGGCGTACGCTAAAATAACCTAATTTTTTATTATAATGCAACTGTGAGCACTAAAAACCTGACTTGAATTAAATTTAGTTTTTTTAGAACGGCTAGCATAAAGTACATACCCCTAATAATATGTGATATTGTGTATAATTTTTTTTACTATGATCAAAGAATCGCTGCAAGAACAAATTTTTCCCGGTAGATAAGAATATATGTTAGCGCAAACAAAGAGGTATTATAAACTAGATATAATATATCTCTTTGGTGCAAAATACAAAGTTTTCTCATTTACAGCTTTGCGCATAAAATCAGACGTCAACCATCAGAGTAGACAAAAAAAAAGTTCAATAGGAAATTCTATCGAAACTAACAGAGATTCTATAGAAATTTTATAGAATTTTATAGAACTTCCATAGGCCTAATGTTTCAAATGTTTATAGAAGTTCTATAGAACTTTTTTTCTGGAAATGCGAGTTACAGCCATTAAACCCAGATGCCATTGATTAAAAAAAGTTTTTTCAATAGCATCTTAATAGTTTAAAAACAATAGAAACATGCTAGAGATGAGACCTTTTTGACGGGGTTGATCAAGTTGCATTTGTAGAAGCTTCAACTCAAGTACCTATAGCACTAAGTAACTCAAGTATAGGTACCCAAAAACAGTTTATTTATAAACAACAAATAGAGCATATAGAATTAACAAATGATTTATATCTTTAAAAAGCTTTGTGAAACTTTATATTTATTTGAAAGTTAAAATTTAAATTTTAAAGCAGATTTTGTCTTTAAAGTTTTTGCATTTTTATTTATTTCACGTTCAGGAATGTTCAGATTTTTATATAAATATTAACCTTCACAAAGCGTTTTAAAAATATAGATATTTTTTAATTCTATATGCTCTATTTCTTGTTTAAGTTAATCTTACCTTACATACCACTAACAAATATCCCAACATACCGTTAATAAACTAGCATACATGCCGTTAATACATTTTATGTCATGCATACCTTTAATATATTAGCTCTGTCGTCATCTTTTTTGTCAATATCTAAAATATTTCAAACTAAATAAATGGAACTAAATAAATTTTTTAATCGAAAATTCTAATTTTAGGCAAAATTAACAATTAAAGATGCTGTTTTTTTTTAATACAAATAAATCAAATTTTGGTTACTGTAGATTGAATCTCGTTAATGATCATTTACAGGTTTTAAACTTCTTGTAATTATCTTTTAGTGTTGAAAGTTATGACCATGTAAAGTCTCCATTTCCTTTCGAAATGAGAATAAGTTATAACTTTCAAACGCTTAAAAAATATATATGAGTTTCAAAACCGGCTGATAAATTTAAATTTAGATAATAAATTAAAATATTTTATTAACTAATTTCCCTTGCATTTGGCTTTGTATGGTAAAAATGTTGGTGTATTTTTTATATTATTTTAAGCATTTTAAATTTTCAATTTTTATGTTAATAATTGCTTCATGATGTAGGTAGTCGTTTTAATATAGCTCTTCCTACAGAATGAGAGGTTTTGAGCTAGGGTATAGTGATACACATTGATTAAGACGATATTCATCAGTATACATAAGGTTTGCTCACCAATCTAGATTAGATTGATGAGTTTTTTGTTTACATTTTTTCTATTAGTTCAATAATTTTTGCTAGAAAATCCCAACCACCTCAATATAATTTTGTTTCAGAGCTTAGATGGACAACTTGTTTTACAGTATTTTCTGTAGGATTTTCGGGTTTTTCTATACAAACATCGGAATTGGTTATAAATTTTTCAGCCATGAGGGTAAATGAAATTTTTCAATTCTCATTCTAGATTTTATTTTCTATTTTCTCACTAATGAAAAACATCATAACATCATTGCATCAGATTCTAGTCAAATTTGCAGGAAATCAAAAAGTAATATCCATTGCGTGGCAGAAATGGAGAACTTCAAATGTTTACCTTAGGCTAATAGCCTAATTAAGTAACCTATTAAAACTTTCCAGAGCCCGAGGTTATTTTAAAGAAGAAAGCCCCTTTCTATGTTATAAATCAAAGTTTTTCTTTTCAGAGCTTCTTTAAAAAAAGAAAAAAAATATTAAAGAGCGTAGGAAAATTTATGAATCTCTGCACTATAATTTATTTTTTTTCTAAACGTTAAATTATAACAAGAAATTATAGCCTGTTTATATTCTGAAATATGAAAACATTGATTTAATCCAGTTTCCCGATGATTATAGAGAAATATAACTTTTGATTTATTTTAAGGGCTCTGTTTTGTTTTCCAAACATTACGGAAAAATGCTTTTTTGTCACAACTGCGTCTATCAATAAAAAGATGGTTGCTGCAACATGTGTTCCTTCCGATCTATACCCATACGTACATAAATTTTTGCTTGAAAATGGTTTGCACAAAACTGCAAAGTACTTTATAAAAGAAACAAATAGTGAATATGCATGTCCTTCAGGACTTTCTTTAGTTGATATATTCAACAAGTACTTTAATGAAACACAAAATAAGAGATCCTCTAAGATTATTAATGATGACGACTCCATTGAAATTCATAAATCATTTCAAAATGACGGCTTTGAAATAGATGGAAAAGACGGTGAAAAGGATAAAAATCTATCCAAAAAACACAAAAAAGAACAAAAAAAGCGAAAGTTGGTTGATGATAATCATGAAGATTCTGAAGCTAAAAAAGTCAAAACAGAAGATAACTTATCATTAAAAAAGAAAAAATCAAAGAAAGGTTAGTATTAATATTTCTATATTTTATATTGATTTTAAAAATACTGTTCAAGGAGGTACATAAGAATAAATCCAAAAGTTAGTTAAATGTCAAATTGTATTGTGACTTGAAGTATTAATCAATCAATCAACATTTCACGCCAAAAAAGTAGTTTATTAAATAGTAAAAAAAAGTTATAATACTGTTTTTGTAAAGGAGCAATGCAAATAGTATAAAACTAATTCAAAGCAGAGACCTCAGAGACTAATTCAAAACTAAATCAAATAAGAGACCTTAACAAATTTTTAAAATGGTTGTGGACTTTTAAATAGCAGATTTTATAATAAAGATAAATTTATAGTGTTTCCTAATGTTGACAAATTTAGCATATAGCTAGTTTAGTTTTCTACTTTTTTGAAGCATTTTATTAGGTGCCAACTTCAATTTTCAGTTAATGTATACTTTAGTCTAGTTGATTCTTACTTCAGTCGGACTTATTAATTTGTATATTTCTTTTTAATAAGAAGACAACAATAAATGATGTTGTAAGTTAGTTAAACTTTTGATTTTCAAATTTTAAAGTATAAACATTCTTATCTTTTTCCATTTTTTTGAATAAACAAATCTTCTGTTATATATGATTTATATATGTATAGTATAGGTATGTGCCAAAAATATTTTTGTTGTGATAATTTCAAAAGTTTTTTACAAAGAGTCTAAAAAAAATTGTGACTAAAATTTGTTTACATGAGTTTTATCTATTACTCGCTACTCAACTTTCAATTAAAAAATGAGTAGCAAACAAATTTTATATATTTTTTTTTAAAAAAGTATGGTCACAAAAAGTTTTTTAATAGTTTTTTTTTTTTTTATTTTAGAGAAGAAGGCAACAAAAGATTCTTTAGAAAAATCGACAGATGAAGTAGTTCAAGTAATTAATAATGTTAATGTTGAAAAAGAATCAAGCAGTATCGTGGAGAATATTAAAAAAGTTTTTAAGCCAACAGAAAAGAAAAAAAATGAACCATTTCGCAGAGTCAAAGAAGAGGAAATACATGTTGATGATAAGTTAAGAAACAACAGTTTTGAAGCAAAGAAAGGGTCTAAAGGTGATTGGGGTGAAAAAGCCAACCAAGATTTAAAATTTACGAGAGGAAAAGGTTTCCGTCATGAAAAAACAAAAAAGAAACGTGGAAGTTATAGGGGTGGTGCAATAAACACTTCTGTCAACTCAATTAAGTTTGAAGATAGTGATTAAAATCATTTTGTTATGAATTTCATTTTTTTTTAATTTTAAGAATGTGATTTTTTCACAATTTAAAAAAAATGGTGTTTTTACCATTTTAGCATTGTGGAAACATGCTATACCTTTATTGCAACTTGCATTTTTTTTGTCATGTGGTTGTATTAAATCCATTCATTGATTTAACTCATTTTGTTGCCTATAAGGTTTTATCTGAAAAATTGTTTATTGTTTATCTGTAGAGAAGAGTGGTGATGATTGGGCATAAGGAATATTTAGGCCATCCTCTTTACAGCCCAATTGAAACAATCAATGCAGTTCCACACATAATGAAAAAGCTTGCTGTTGTTTCCTTTACACAGAGATGTTTTTCTGCACTTTAATGAAAACTAATTTTTTCACAAGCAGTTTCTATTTTTGAGCTGCTAAAGCCAGATTTTTTTACCTATTCTTCTTGTTCTAAGTACTGCAATTTGAATACTAGTTTTTGATAAGTTTATGTTTGCTTTTTATTTTTTGTAATATTTACTTGTTCTACAGCTGTTTTGAAACTTGTTTTATAATAATACTACATAAAGCTATTAATCTAGGTCACTTTTTATGCAACTGCTTCCTGTGGGTATGAGATTAGACAAGCATATATTTATGTTGCACTACTTACAAAATATATATTTATATCTTTTTTTTTTTTGAGTTTAATTGCAAAACCTATAGGTGCAATTAAAATGTATTATTGACTAATTTTAAAGTGGTCAATAATACTTTTATTTTAAGATATTACCAGTTTAATGTTTAGTGAGATATTACCTGTTCAACCCTCGGAATAAGGATCGGCATTCGGCAATGCCCACCTAACTGCTGACCTGAAAGTGTTTGAGGTCGGCAAAAAATTGCCAACCTCGTTTCTATCTTTTATGGTCAGACTTTTGTATCAAATAATTTCTGCCGACCTCAAAAAGATTGAGGTTGGCAAATTATTGCCGATCTCATTTTTCCTAGTTCTGAGGGTTGCCTGTTTGATATTTCTCACTAAAATATTAATAACTGTTCACATTATTGCTGTGCTTCCATGAAGTTTTTTTCAACTAAATAAAAATACTTCTTTGTTTTACTAATTCTTTGTGGTATCTTTTATAGTTTTTGTAATATACCAATTTTTATGAAGTGTAAATTCTGTTGGCCCAATTATCCTCACTCTGCTACTTTTAATCCCATTTTTTCCAGTTTTATTTTTCAATGGTATTAATAGTAATAGTGGGTGGTTATGGATAAGGGGGCTACTGCAGTTATGGAGAAGGAGCTTATGGAGACCACTGAATTTATGTAGGATACTAGTTTTTTTTCATTTGTTACCACAAGCTTTTTTCAACTAAGTTGCTCCAAAATATGAATGTTAACTATCACGCTGTTGTTTAGAGATTCAAGAATTACTAACTTCAAACAACGCAGTTGTTTGAAGTTAGTAATTCTTTTTATTTTTACTAATAAAAAACTCATTTTTTAATACACTAGTGTATTAAAAAAGTCATTTTTTAATACATTAGTGTTAGTAGCAATAAAATAAAAAGTTTTTAAAATTTATGCTTTATGTTTTAAAGTTTAAGACAAAAGTATGTATGCTATAAAGCTTTATTATTAAAAATAAATATAGTGGTTGTTTTCTAAGCATTTTTGATGATAAAATTTAATATTTATTTGCAAGTTTCGATTTTTACAAGTAAAAAAATATATAAAATATATGACAGTCCTGTTAGGGCTGGCATTTGAATGAAGCCAGGGCCAGCTTTGACAAAACTAGATTTGGTTTGCTTGACTATTATTAAATCCTAAAAGTATTTTTTCTTTATTTAATATTGTTACTCTGTTAATTACTTTTTTTTAATTATTATTTCAATTCACCTCCCCAATGTCATGAAGACCATTACAATCAAGAGGCTACTCAAACTGTGGTTACAACCCTCTTAACTCTATAACTCAGAAACACAAACCTTAAAAAAAAAGGCTGTGTGGAGAAACAAGTTGAGCACAGTACTACCAGGGACATGGTGGGGATCGAACTCGAAACTTCTTTGTGAGGCGAGTGCTTTACCACTACATCACTACGACATAAGGTAATTTAACACTTATGATAGTGTTAATTTATCTACTAATAAAAATATATACTATTGTGTGCCCAGTAATAGTATATACTGTACACTTTAGTTTTTAAAATTTTATTGGTAATGGTAGGTTCTGAAGCTTTTGCAGATCGCACATATATATTCGTTTGAGTATTTATTGTATTTGAGTCTAAATACACAATAGTAAATATGCTATTTTTTTTTAGTTGTACAGAATTAATAAATTAATGCAGGAAAGGACTATAGCAAGACTGTTTTTAGTGCAAAGATTATACCGTCAAATATTAAAGTTACATCGTTATCTTCCAAATGACTTAAAAAAGTTAGGAGACCAATACGTCAAGGAAGAATTTCGGCGACATAAAGGTGCAAATCAGCTTCAAGCGTATGAATTCATGACTGAATGGAAAGTAAGTTTTCATGTGAAAAATTTATTTAAAATTGGATAAATTGTTCGTTTCAAAAATTTTTTTTTTTAGTTCTATTGTGATACATTGCAAAAACAGATTACCTTACCACCTTCTAGTTTGGGTGTACCACTTGATCCAGAAAAAGTAAACTCTCTATCACAAGAACAACTTGGACAACTGTTTCACTTGCAGCAAGAAGCTACCAAAAAGATTTAATTTTAATTGCAGTATGTGCAATGCATTTTTTAAGAATTTTTTTTTTTGGATAAAGTATTTACATGCAGCAGTATGTATATAAATAATTAAAGTTTTGCATAATAAATAAAATGTTTTTAAATGTTTATTTCTTTTCATACTTCTAAATTGAAAATATAATTTTTTTTATATTTGATAAAATAATATTTGATAAAATATTTTACAAATATTTGTTAGCATTACAAAATATTGGAAATAGTTAAATAATTACTCTGATTACTTTAAATATTTTTAATTGTCATTTTTATCTATAAATAATTCTTTTAATTCTTCAAATATTTAAAAAAGCTAAGCAGTTGTTGGTTACTATAGATACTACAATTAATTTCAATTGCTAAGCATTATACTTTTATAAATCCTTTTAATTTTAACTCAAAGAACTAATATTATGGTTTTTTATTATTAAGTATAGTTTTAATATAAATACAGATTTAATTCTTATATTAGTTTTTGTCTATAAATTTTTTTCAACTGTTTCAAATAAAAAAAATTTTAAATATAGTTATGATTACAGATAGAAGATCTTAGTTTATCGACTATTTATATCTTCAAAATGTTTTTTTTCTTTTGGATATTTTCATTAATGTTGAGTAAGTGAACTTGTTGGTATATGTAAAGAATCCCAATAATATGACTCTGCTAAAATTTTATAAAACAGTGCTTAACTATTTTTAATTTGTTAGAAACTATCATTTGCAATGCAATCTCAAAAGGTATGAGATAATTTGATTGTAATGAAGTATGTTAAGGTTTGTTGACAATAAAGTCTTTTTTTATCTCTTTAGACCTCTTTTTCTTTTTACACATAGCCCTCCCATCCATATAAAAAGTAGACAAGTTTACATATAAAATTGTCAACATCTATATAAATATTGGTGATTCTTATTTTATTATTTCAGGTTGCTATGAGTACCAAGATGGATATCTTGGTATGTTCTCAAGTAAAAACTATCCCAATAAATATGAGAATAATGCATTTTGTGAGTGGAAATTAACTTCTCCTAATTCAACTGTAATTCAGCTTCGGTTTACTGATTTTGAGCTGGAGAAAAGTTCTGGTTGTCGTTATGACTTTTTGGAAATTTATAATGAAAATCCTATAAATTTTTCTCTCATTGGTCGTTTTTGTGGAAATGAAATACCTGATGTAATTATCAGCTCATCAAACTCAATTTATTTACGTTTTCAAACAGATAAACATGATGTTAAAAGAGGTTTTGAAGCAACATGGATTGCTGTCAGTAAAAATCATTTTGAAGAAAGTTATATTTCTAAAAGACATGTTAATACTGAAAAAGGTGAAATTTTTGGAATTAATAATCTTTATATCAGTCTGTGCTAGGTAATAAACTTTATAAAAAGGTCAATTTACTAAATAATTTAAAAAAAAATAGAATTTGGAAAAACTTTTATTTCAATCTAAAAATTCGTTTTGGATTTCAGATTACGTTTAGAATAAAAATAAAATGTATAATTCTATTTCTCTTTCAATTTATTTCAAATTTTTGTAAACTGATTTTTAATATATAAAAATATTGTAGCAAATCTGAAAAAGATGCATTTAAAACATCAATAGGGGAGAGTGGGACACCATGAAACTAAGCAATTATATAAACAAACTCTTATTATTTCTGTTACTATTTGCTTGTGTAAGTCTGATATATGTATTTTTTCCATTGTTTTCTCACTTATTCAATAATTTTTGGAGTTGTTTTACAGTGTAGTATTCAACGTCTTGTTCGCTAAATATTATTATTTTATAAACTACATGAGCTCTTTGTGTGATTTTCATTAAACACATTTAATGAAATTTTATTTTGAAAAACAGAAATCAGCCCTCTTTTTCTATCAGAATGTATGGGTTAACATGATCCAGTTTTTATGGAGTGCTATATCATAGTACCTTAATGTACTGCTTTTTTAAATTAAAAATCTGTCAAATAACTGCAATTTAAGAGCAACAAGAAATGTCCATTTTAATAATTTAATGCTTCACCTAACTTGGTATCAAGTTTATCTAACAAAATTAATTTTGTCTCAAAAACGTTAATTACATAAGTTTATTTTAATATATTAATATCAAGATATTTATGTGCTCTCTTGTGTTAAAAGACAATACATATAATTATATAATGTTTTTATTATGATTCTTATAAATTTATATTAAAAAATAAATTATTTAAACTAAATCTCAGAGATCAAGTTTGAATTAAATTTTTTATGCATGGTTTTACTCAATTTTTATGTTTGTCATATAAAAATTTGACTAACCTCTTATTTTCTATCATTTGTTTGTTAATCATATTGTTTTAATAATATTTTTAGATATTTATGAAGAGCTATAGAGAAATACTATAAGAAAAACTAATTAACGTGATACAATAAAGGTAGCAATTGATTTGGTTTTAACTGAAAATTATTTGTATTAAGAAATGCTCTAGAAGAAATAAATCTTAGTCAAAGCATTCTTTCTAGGTACTCTTGAGTCCCTTAATAAAAAATTAATTTTAGTGAGGATTGCACATTTTCTAACAGCTGTTTTATAGTAATTTCAATAGGATTTAATATGGTGATATGTTTTATACTTTGGTAAGAAATAAACCAAAAGCTGTACAAAAATGTATTAAAATTTTAATACATTTTTGTACTGTACTGTACAAAAATGTATTAAAATTGTTACCAAAAAGACATCAAGCTAGTTAACTCTGTAACAAGTGAAGAACATGGAGCTTTGGTGACAAAATCTATTTTTTCATAAGCTTCTCAAGTATTACCATTCCACCTGCAATGAAATTCCCAAGAAAAAAGTTTGTTGCATTATTAAGCAGGATTAATAATGAACTACCTTAGGTATATAAACCCATAATTTTTTTTTTTTTTTTAATTATCTTCGCTTTCAACAAGGCTGCAAGCAACCACTAATTAGTGTTGGAAGTTACTGGAAGAGAAAAGATGAAGATTGTGGAGCAAGATAACGATTGATAGACCTTAAAAGATTGCAAATTATATGAATCAGAAAAGCAAGATAAAGGTAGCGAATTCCAAAGAACTGATGTTCGAGGAAAAAAACTAGACATATAAGAGTTTTTGGAGCACTTAGGAACAGTAACAGAAAAAGGATGAGACTTAATTGAATGACGAGTAAAACGAGAATGAATTTTAGTAGATGGCACAAGAGACGCTAGCTTTTTAGAGCAGTGCCCATTATAGTATTTGTAGAAAAGGGAAAAAGAAGCAACATTACAATGATGTGACAGATGTTGAAGGTTGGCTGCTAGAGCAGGTCCAACTATGTTTACAATGCGTTTTTGCACTTTGTCTAAAAGAGAAAGGGCATCATTAGAAGATCCGCCCCAGATATGGCAACAGTATTCCATACAAGGCTGGATTTGAGATTTATAGAGATAGAGAATAGAATCCAGAGTAAGAAAGTGACGAGCTCGATAAAGAGAAGCAATTTTAGCAGATGCTAATTTTGCAACAGATTTGATATAAGGTTTCCAAGAAAGATCAGAAGTAAGAGTTAATCCTAGAAGATAAAGGGTAGGAGACTCATCGAGTACATTACCAATCATAAATATAGGAAGGTCTAAATTATTGCGATAATGATTGGCCGAAAAAAATTGAGTTTTATCTGAATTAAAGTTCACCAACCACTGTGAGCCCCATGCTGTAGCAGAAGTGAGATTCTTTTCAAGCTTAGATGCCCCCTGCAAGCAATCAGAGGGGGTTGGCTTCTTATCGTGACAAGAATAAATTGTAGTATCATCAGCGAACAATGCCACCTTAGATGTGAGAATATCTGGAAGATCGTTAATGTAAATTAAAAAGAGTATAGGGCCAAGGATTGAACCTTGGGGAACCCCTGAGGTTACAGAATAAGAAGAAGAGTGCTGTCCATCAAGGACAACTTTTATACTACGATTGGAAAGGAAGGATTCAATAATCTTAAAGATGTTTCCAGATACACCATAAGAAGAAAGCTTATGGAGGAGACCAGCATGCCAAACTTTATCAAACACTTTAGAAATGTCAAGAGCAATGGTCTTAACCTCTCCACCTTTATCTAATACGCGATAAAACCTATCGGTTATTAATGATAGCAAATCAGCCGTAGAACGAGAAGATCGAAATCCATATTGATGATCAGAAAGTAGGTTATGAGATTCGAGATGAAAGATTAAGTGTTTGTTAATTAAAGATTCAAAAACCTTGCTTATGATAGGAAGAAGACTAATGGGACGGTAGTTAGATGAGTCAGATCGCTCTCCAGAATTTTTAAAAATAAGGATAACAGATGCTGCTTTCAAGCAGGCTGGAAAACAAGACTCTGATAAGTACTTGTTGAATAGTTTTGAAAAGATAGACGACAGCTCAGGAGAACACTTCTGCAAGACTATAACAGGTATGTTGTCCGGGCCGCAAGCTGTAGAAGAGTCTAAGGGGGAAATCACCTTAGATACAGAAGCTGGAGTGATACGAATGTCGAGCAATGGATCAACCTGTTTGACGGCTATATCAGGTAGAACGCAACTAGTGGCATCAAGAGATGATATTGATGAAAAGTTCTTGGCAAACAATTCAGCTTTGTCTTTAGGTGAGGTGACAAAGTCTGAACCGTACAAAAGAGGTGGAATTACAGACTTGCCCTTATTATTGATACTATTAAAGATTCTCCAGAAGTCACGAGAGCCTAATTTTTGTGATGAAATACGAGATTTCATGATCTGAGAATAGCGGGTTTTGGCGTTAGACAAAACCTTTTTACAATGGTTCCTAGCAGTAATAAACAGACGTCTGTTTTCTAGAGAATTGTTTTGCTGATAGATATGGAAGTAATGGTTTCGATTGGCAATTGCAGCAGCACAATGTGAAGAAAACCATGGAGAAGAGTTAGACTTGACCTGGAATCGTTGAGAGGGAATAAAGGATTTCATGCCAGCCTGAATCCACGAAGTTATGTAAGAAGCACATTTGTCAACAGGGAGACGAAAGATTTCTACCCAGGGGCCATCACGAAGAAAATCACGGAAAGAGTCCCAGTTAGCTTTAAGGTAGTTGTACGATGTACGATGATAGGGGGATTCTTATGGTAAAGAAGAATGAGATAATAGTTTTAGAGAGACCAAACCATGATCAGACGCACCTAAGGGTGAGTGTGAAGAAACTGAGCACTGACTAGGATCAGAAACAAGACATAAGTCAAGTAGAGAAGGTAAATGATTCGGGTTGTCTGGAAAGCGAGTTGGAAAGTTGACTATTTGAGTTAGGGATTGAGAAAGACAAAAGTTGTGGGCCTTAATGCCTGCAGAGTCACTGACACTAGAGCCAAGCCATTCAGTGTGATGAACATTAAAGTCACCGACAACAACAATATTGGCTGATGGATAAAGAATGAGGGCTTGGTCAATATAATCAGAAATAACATCAAGAAGAGTGCAGTCTTGAGATGAGGGAGAGCGATATAGAACAAAGAGAAAGGTGATAGAGTAAAGTGGTGCTAAACGAAAGCACATAAAAGAGTAGTCTGTGGATTCAAACCTAGTTTCCCGACAAATGGGTGAATTCTTACGAATGTAAATGCCCAGGCCAAGCATGTGACTATTGGAGTCTTTACGAATTAAAGGAAGATAACCATCAACACTAAGATCACAAGATGAGACAGCTGAACTCAAATTAGTCTCACAAAGAGTAAGTAGGTCTAGTGAACTTTGCAAGAGATAAGACTCAACAGATAAGAAACATAGTACTCAGTACACTGTTTTATAGCTCAAGCAGTTGCCTCATTTCCACTAATAAACCCTAAGCCGTAACATAGGGCTCCAATGTGGCCTTAACAATGCACACCAAAAGTACAAACAGGGACACCATCCATGCGCAACATGGCACTGTTAGTACTCTGATATTTTTCAGCTGTTGATGGAATCAGCCTCTCTGAGAGCTACCACAGAGTTCAGGAAACCTGACTACCAGCTCGCCTCAGAACCATAAAACTGAGTTTTCAAGCTGTACCCTCATTTGGAGATAATAGAATGAGTTGCCTAGTCATAAAAACAGAGACACAAGCAAAACCCATGAATCGAGTCAAGAAGATACAGCGTTCAGCATCCTAAACTGGAAACAATGTATTAAAAATACATCTGCGCCAGCCTAATAGATGAAGAAGGGGTGCGAGGCTGGTCAACAGACAGAATCTGTTTACCCAAATAATTTATAATAATTTAATGGTAATGAATTATCTTAAGTATACAAATCCAACTGAATACAGAGTTAGTTGTGGAGGTAGTTCAACATTATCAAAAACATTATAGTAAAAAAAAATGCATCTCTATTATATTTGATAAAAGCGAGAGCTACTTATCTATAGCCCTCAATCTTGCAAAGAGTAACATTAATGCAGTCCTTAGATGTCTCTGTATTTGTTCCATTCAAACCAAATTATTGTTATTATTATTATTTTTTTAACAAATTTACTCCCAACAAGGCTGCGTGTAATCACCATTTGAGTTAGGAGTTACGAGAAAACTAAGAATAATCATTAAAGAACTATAAAACAATTGGAAAAAGACTTAAAAAAGAGTAAATTATATGAATGGGAAAACATAAAGACTCGAGAGTTCAAAGCATTTATGTGCAGAAAAAACTAGTATAATAGTTATATATATGTATAAATTATATATATGTATAAAAGTTTTTAGAAAATAAAGACAGACACACAGTAAAAAGATGTGTCTTTGAACCCTTATAACAATGTGACAGAGGCTCCAGCTTGGCAGTTGGAGCAGGTTTAACTACATTTTCTAAATGTTTTCGGATGTTGTCTAGAGCAAAAAGGCATAATTAAAAGAACCAGCTCAAATACAACAACAGTATTATATAAATAAATAAATAAGAAATTTGTTGAGGTAGAGAATGAAATTGAGAGTAAAGAATGAGTCCGATAAAAAGAGGCAAACTTAGCCGATGCTAATTTAAAAATGGTTTCAAGCCTTTCAGAAATAGCTGTATAATAGTAGTTATATAGTTTCTTTTCTCTAGATTTCTTTTTTTTTATTTATCACATTTAACATCTGTTACTGCTACAGCAGTATTGCTGTGTCTCTTACTGTTAACATGGTATCACCATAGTTTTTTTTTGCATTAACTGCGATATGATTGTTTCACTCTCAGTAGTTAGTAATGAATGATAAGCTGAGAATACATAAAGTAGAGGAATCAGTAAGAGTGTTGCAAGTCATAAAGTTAACTATCTGAGTATGAGGTTGAGAAATACAAAAGCTATGAGTTTTAGTGCCAGTAAGGTCAGTGGTACTAGAGCTAAGCTGTTCAGTGTGATAACCATCAAAATTAAAGTCACCAAAAAGCACTTACAAATTGTAAACACATGTACATAGCGTGTACAAAGTCAAATGGTTTTAAGACCGGGTGGTAGTATTGTTTCTCTAAACTCTAAGGTAGCTTTTAGAGAGGCTGATTTCATTAACATTTGACTGAGTTTTAGAGCTGTACCCTCATTTAGAGATAATAGAATGAGTTTTCTACAGGGAAACTAGAAATTTGGGTAAATGGTCTATTTATATGGTTGTAGTCACTAGTCAATCACTGGGCTAACACCACACCAGAGGTTTAAACAGAATACAAACATACATATAGTAACTTACAGGTAAGCTAACACCGTCCTATTGGTTCACACAGAGCACAAACATACATATATTGTAACTTACGGGTGAATATATATTGCGCCAGAGGTTCAGAAAAACACTACCATCAAATATAATAACTTACACCTGAGTTAACACAAGGCCTGAAGTTCACAGAATACAAACATAAATATAGTTATATGTGCACAAAAAGGTCTTTCCTTTTAAATTAACCTGAAGTGCTCATCACTATTCAAAAAATTGCATCTTGTGTTATATTTTAAACCTCGGCGGGAATGGAGAGCTTAAGCTTTTGCTCAGTTAAGCTAGTGTTGGCTAGTGTCCACACTAGCTTAAACTGATTTACACTAGCTATTTTTGGCTTGTGCTAAAGTAAAAAGTTGAGAAATTTTCTTGACATAAATTTTATTGTGATTTTTTTTAAACTGTAGGTTCTAAAGTTAAGCAGGCAAATAATATATATACCTTCTGGACAAAAAAAATGAGACCAAAGTTTTATTTTCAAAATAGTAAATGAATAATAAAATTTTTCAATAGAAAATAAAGAGTAAAGCTTAATTTTTAAAATAATATATTAATCAATATCCGGTCATGTGTCCTTGGAGATCTATGCATTTTTGAACACAACGGTTCATACTGTCAATTAATGACTTTCAATAATCCAAGTAAAGTCCGTTCCAAATTTCTTGAATTGCAACCTCTAAATCATCTAAATTTTTTGGTTTTTTCTTGTCCACCTCTTTTTTCATTAACCTCTGTTTGAACTTTGGTTGCCAATTCTCAGTCGTTTATTTGCCCATCAACCTTCTTAAGTTTGAAATAACTCAAAATGACTCTTGTCACTAAATACCCATTGGTTCCATCTTGTTCTTAGATGTTCTTCACACCATTTTACCCTATTTTCTTGTTGAACAGTCAATAGGGGTTGATTTTTGGGAACAAAACTGAAGTACCCACTTTGGTTAAGATAACGAGTAATGGTTCTGGGAACAACCTTGGGACTGCCTTTTTTGATTACTTCAATTTGAATATCTTGGATGGATCATGTGTCATCTTTTCGAGCTAATTAAATCAATCATTGTTGATCCTTTAAATTAAGTTTTCTTGGTTTACCACTTCCATTCTTTCTCTCCAAGCTCATTCCTTCCCTCATTTTCTTTAAATATCTTGTAACTGTTGCCTTAAGTATCCCAGTTAATTTCATTGCATGTCTTTATGTCTTTATGACCCGCTTTAAAAAGATAGTCAAGTGTCAATGCTGGCGACTTCATTTCTAAAATAAATATTTTTAGGTAAATCAAAAATAATAATGAACACATGGACTTTTTTGATGAATATATATATTTTGATGAACAGAAGTGGGCAACATCCCTCCCGAGGGCCAGATCCGTCTCGCTGTGAAATTTGATCTGCCCTGCAGGACATTTTGAAAAACCCAATTGAAAATTTTGGTGCATCTCAATGTCGGAACTAATGTGGTTGTTATTTATAAATACAGTAGTTTTAGGCACTTTGCATTTCTTGTTGTTAAATGAAGCGTGTTAAAGATGTATATAATTAAAAAGTTAATTTATTAAGCTTTCTATCGATATATAGTTTGTTATACTTTTAAAGAGATTTTTCTATTTGAGTTTCAATTACTTTGCAATGTTATCAATAAATTGTATTATAATAGCAATGTCTTATTTCATGTCTGATATATATCGTTAAAATTATGGCTTACTTCATTAAAGTGCTACTTTAAAATGCGGTACTTTTAAACGTGGCCAGCGAACATATTTGCACACTAAAGTTTGACCCACACCATGTCAAAGGTTGCCCATACCTGATATATATTGCACCTGATAAATCAAACAATGGGTTTCATGAAATACAAAAAAAGTCATTGTATGACTCGCTGAAAATTGTAAAAATACGAACAAATGTTTTGCATAAGTGGTCTCATTTTTTTTTGTCCAGAAGGTACATATATATATATATATATATATATATATATATATATATATATATATATATATATATATATATATATATATATATATATATAGTTACAAGACAAAAACCAAAAGTTTATCTATTCGCCCCACTCTCCTCTATATTCTTAATAAAAATAATAAAAACTTAAGAACATTTTAAAGATATTTTTTTTTTCATATGAGTAATAATGCATACATTATGAAAAAATGAAATTTATATCAATGAAAAATAAAATTTTCATTGATATAAACGTTCTAAAAATTTTGAAAAATGTTTTTATGAGTTCAAACTTTTGATTAAATGCGTGTTAAAATAAAATTAGAGTAGGGTCTTTTCTTTTATCTACAAATATGCCTTTGATAGGAACTTCAATAATTAGTTTTTCTGACAAAACTCTAGTTTTAATCACAGCAAACTTGTCTGCCTTATGCTGTATTTATGTAAAATGTATGTATAAAAGAATTAATACTGCTTTTCTAGAAAAATACCTTTAAAAGAGTCTGCATTTTAAGGTTAAAAGTGTACAGAAGTATCTCTGAAAGTATCTTTATGTGTTTAAAATTAAAAGTTTTTAATTCATTTATTTTTACTTAGATAAATGCGGTGGTATACGAAATTCAAATGAAGGTAGTATAACATCTCCAAATTTTCCTAACAATTATCCAGCTTCATCACATTGTGTTTGGATTTTGGAATCAAATCAATCAAGCAAAATAGTTCTAAACTTTAAAAGTTTTGATCTAGAAAAGCATATTGAATGCAGGTATGACTATGTTGTAGTTAAAGATGGCCGAACCAGAAATGCTAAGGTAATTGGCCAGTATTGTGGGAGTAGAATTCCTCAAGAAATAAGTACTAATGGCTCAGCTCTTTACATTGAGTTTGTTTCAGATACTTCTACACAAAATAAAGGATTTGAAGCTGCTTGGAAAATGATTCCTCCTCCACCTATATCTACTCTTCAAAGTAAGTTTAAATTTTGAAACAAAATATTTTTGAGTGCTTTGTTATGAAACACAAAGCGTTTTTGTGAAGTGTAAAATGTTTTAGTGTGGTTTCTAAAGTGCAAACAATTTGTAAAACACACAAGCAGGGGTGTGGAGTCATAAAAAAAAAGTAACGACTCCGACTCCAGTTGTTGAAATTTTTAGAGTACAACTCTGACTCCTACTCCAACTCCAAAGCAAAATTTTTGAAAAATTCTTTGAATTCTTTAAAAAAGATTGCACGATAAGTTGAAATTTTTTTTTTTGACAAATTTATGAAACATTCTTTGAGGTTTAGTATGAACATAAGGTTAATTGAATATTTTGTACATGCATGTGCAATACCAAGAAATTTTACTATTGGAGTCGAGATATTTTTTAGCAACTCTGACTCCGCTAAAATTGTCACAACTCCGACTCCACAGCCCTGCACACAAGGTTGACTTTTTTTGAAACTTTTTTTGTATAATTTGTCGTGAAGCACAAAATGCTTTGGTGTGATTTGTAAAGCATGAGAATTTTTTTGAAACATAACATAAAATAGTTACATGTATTTGAAACATAAAATTTTTACATGTTGACTTATTGTGAGACGTAAAATATTTGTTATTTTTTGCTGAGGTAATCAACAGTTAGTCATTTATTTAAAAATTTAGCTAAAAGCGAAATTAAAAAGAAAATAAGAGAAAACAAATTATGGATTTTTTGCGGATGTTTTATTCAAACAATTTTCCGGATTTTTAAAATATGACTAGGATGATCTATGATTATATGTTTATAAAAATTTCTTTGATTTCTTGATTTAATGAACCATTTATTATAATGAAATTAAGTGTATTGATGTAAAAGTTTTTTCTGTGAACAAAAATATATTATGTGTATAAGGGTGGAGCAAAAATTTTTTAAAAGTTTCTCCTATTACACCCTAGGTTTGTTCTATATTATAAAATAACACTGAATTAAAATTTTTTTTTCAATAAAACTATTTTAAAGGGTTCCAACTGACCCTTATATATTTAACAGGTCCCTAATATTATCCGGAAAAAAAAATGTCAACCTGTTACTCAAAAGAAGTGAAATTTTATAAAAGTTTCAAAAAGTTAATAATTTGAATATAATTGATAGTAAATTTATATAATAGTAATTATTAGTAATTTTTGACCTTTGATCAATAATTAGATTATTTGATAATTATCAATCTTAATGGTTTCAAATATAAATATACTATTTTCACAGTTGATACTATTGATTATTTTATGGCCTGCAGTAAAGCAGGTTTGTTTTGAGAACTTTTTCTTCTTTTTTTAGCTTCTTTATTAGCTTTCATTATTCTAGACAGTTCTTTACCTACAGTTTTATTTTAGGATGTGGTGCAATTTTAAATGGAGAAACTGGAGTTTTAATTTCCCCAGAATATCCAAATGGTTTTCAAAACAAAGACTTGTGCACTTGGATAATTAATGTTCCTGAGAGTGGACAAGTTGAGCTCATTTTTGAGGACTTTCATGTTGATGTTGAGCACACTGGATGTAGTAAGGCGTATGTGCAGTTGCATGATGGGCATTTAGGACAAAAACTTGGTTTATTTTGTGGTACATATTTACCTAAATCCGTTCTTTCAAAAACAAACTCTATGACTGTTGTGTTTTTATCAGACGGGGTTAAAGCCAGTCGTGGTTTTCGTGCTAGATGGGTTACTACATATCCTAGACGTATTTTCATAAATCCATCTGACCAAGGTAATACAATTAAAGCTCTGTGTGTGTGTATATATAAATATATATATACACACACATTCACACACACACAGCTTTAATTTTATGTTTTATTTAGCTTTTAATAGTTATATAATAAATATTTCAATAGTTCAATTTGTTGTTATTTTCTTACTGTAAAAAAAAATTTTTTTAAATCAATTTATACAATATTTATATCAACCATATATTTGTATTAGATACTGCATGCAGTGAGCTTGTAAAGCCAACAGGATATATAAATGTTATTAAACCTAAAAATTGTACATGGAATATAACTGTTCCTGTTAAAAAGCTTGTTGAGATCTTTATTATTAACATTGATATGGCTGATGATCCAGATTGTCACAGTGAAAGGATAGAAGTTAGAGATTATGTAAATGCACCACTTTTATTTCGAACATGTGGACAGCTAAAGTCTAAACCTATATTAACTAGTTCAAATACTGCATTTATTCAACATATGGTTTTGAACACATCAAGATTATCATTTTTAAAATTATTCTGGCAAGCAGTAGATATAACCAACAGTATACATTTACAGAGATATGGTAACTTATTGATTTTGAAAAATAAAAATTTAAGTATAACAATTTTATTTCAAATTGGTCAATACTCATGCAAACTTTTAAGCATTCAAATTGCTCCTTGAAAATGCAAAAAAATTTCTGTTAAAGAAAAGCTAACTTGCAAAATTAAAAAATATGTCATGCTTCAATTTCAATTTAAGTGAATGCAGTATTCAATATTTTATATTTAGTATCTTTCCACCTCAATATAATGGGTACGTTTCAAACGTTTATGTTAACCCTTGGAAATATAAAAAAAAAATTCTGAAAATTTCCTGGATTTATGCTTGAGAAATTAAGTATCCACCCTACTTGACCAAAAAGTTTTTTTCTTTTTAAAACATAAATAGAATTAATCATTTTCTATTTTTAGACAATTGTGCTTCAATGCCTTTGGAATCTGTTAAGTTGCCGATATTTGATGGAATGAGTAGTCCTTCTAAATTTCCTTGGGTAGCAGCTGTTATAGGCATGTATGGGCGTATCCACTGTGCTGGAGCAATTTTGTCACCTGAATGGGTATTAACAGCTGCTCACTGTTTTCAAAGGTTTTTTTTATTATTTTTTAAATTATGGTTAGTACAAAATGTTTCACGAAATAAAACACAAATTTATTTTTAAATTAATTTTTTATTCACGAAATAAAGTTCTTAAAATTTGTTGAAATTTAAGGTAAAGTGGTGAAGCATTGACAAATCTGACAAGTGTGACAAAATAATTTTTATATGAAATATTTTTATGTGTTTACCAATGATATTGTTGACATAAACTGATTAAAAACTCAATTAGTTTGTAATATTAATGATAATTGATTTTGTTTTTGGTGTGCAGTTTTCAAGTATATTCTTTAGAGCAGTGGTAGTCAACCTGGTCCCTACCATCCACCAGTGGGCGGTAGATATCTTTTTGGTAGGTGGTAGGAATTTTTTCCGGTTTAGAAAAATATTTCCTATTTTAAATTTTAACAATTTTTCCTAAAAAAACAACAATATTAAAAATGATTGCTTTTATATAATTGCATTAGTGAGGCAAACAACAATATGTAAATCAAAACCATATGAGATATTTTTTAAATGTTTCAATACCGAATCACAATTTTTAGTACCGTGAAATGTGGTTACTTTAGACAGTGGGTTAAATTAGACATTTTTTTAATTCAAATTTCAGGGAAGGGGTTGCGCTTTTAAGTAACCCCTTCCCCCATTTCTGCGTGTATGCTTATGAAAGACCCCTAATGTAATACTTTATATATTAATTTGTAATAATATAACGGAAAAAAATATTTTAAAAAAACAGCGACATTTTCACTTTATCTACACTTTTTAGGTTCTTAGAAATATTATAACTGTTTTTTTTTTTTTTTTTAAGGTTACCGTTGCGTTTGGTTTGGCGGATTAGAGCAGGTGATTATGATTTAATGAAGGATGATGGCTTTGAACAGGATCGTGCCATAAAAAACATTTTTATTCATCCAAACTATGGATTTATTACGCACGATAACGATATTGCTCTATTACAATTAGAAGAACGTTTATACTTCAATGACAGAGTAAGCAATGTTTGTTTGCCATCAGAAAATACTGAGTTGCCTATTGGTAAAAAATGTTCCGTTGCAGGCTGGGGTGCGAGAAAATTTTTGAGACAACCGGAAGGTTTGTTAGCCCATGTTGAACCAAAAATTGTCTCACAAAATGAATGCAACAGTTTAAAGGCCTACAATAAAAGAGTAACGGACAGAATGTTTTGCGCCGGTGATGATGGTGTAGATAGTTGCCAAGGAGATGGTGGTAGTCCTATAATATGCATTGATCAAAATCATTCTTTTGCTTTTGGATTAGCAAGCTGGGGTAATGGTTGCGCGTTTCCTGGAAAGTATGGTGTTTATACAGACGTGCGGAAATTCAGACAGTGGATTGATGACACAATAGAATTAAACTAAATTATGAATTAAACTCTACCTTAAGTTTATTGTTAATTGAAATTCAAAAGTTTTAAATTTTAGTCTGGTTATTTGTTGCTAGGATCTAGGTGATTGTTTACTAACTTTATTTTCACTGTTACTTTTAATTTTATTTGTGTTGCGCGATAAACTATCTGTTTTATATGAACATTTCTTTTTGTTTTTAATGTTTCATAAAAAAAGGAAAATTGAGTTATTATTTTTTTAATTGTATACTTTTTGAATATATTTTATTACCTATTTATTTTTGTTATTTTTGTAATTGTTTGTAATTATTATTATGCGAGTTCTAATCTCGAATGGATTTCTGGTTTGTATTTTTTAAATCTATAAAATAGGTTTGAACTTTTTCAACTCAACTCAAACTTTTTCAACTCAACTAAGGTTTCTAAAATCGTGGTAACATCGACACATCTTTGTAATTATGCTGCAAATGTAAAGTGGCATTATTTGGGGTAACACCATTGGAATTTAGACAAAGAAAAAAGATAAAAAAATTTAAAAATATTAGCAGCAACCTATGCGCAATGGGGTGTTTGATTAATTTAAGCAACCTCAATTGTTAAAAACTGTCGAATAAAAAAATAAGTTACTTAATCAATGCTAAATAGTCAGTGAATATTAAAAACGTTAAGTAACCGCAAGAAGTATGAACAGTACAGCGTAGGATATTTACGAAGTTGATCAAATTATTATTGTTTATGAGTTATATTTCGGTCGTTTTTTTTGTTTAAGCAATTACCAAAAACGAAAATAGTTATAATGTATTTCAAAGTTATTGGTGATGAATTCTAATGAAGTCGGTAAAGGTGAAAAGTTCTAACTCTTAAACGCATATTTTTTTAAAAAAGTATAGAAAAAGACAATATATATTCGCTTATTGTTTAAAAAAAGTTTGATAGTTATCCAATGCCCTACTTGATCTAGTCGAACTTCTTTAGGTGGCGCGAACTGAGATAATCCCCTTTTTTTTTGCGTCCATCATTTCTTCTAATGTACTATTGCCAGGGCGACCTATTTTGGTTTTTCCTTGTCCAACTTTCATTAAACAAAAAGACAAATCTTTCCAAAAGTTCAAAATTGACATTTTTTGAGTTTCGAAAATTTCTTAATGGAATTTAATACTCTATTATAAAGAATCCATGAATTTGCTAATGTCGTGTCAATGAAATGATAAAAAAATTACCAGATGTAGTCTTATTTAGATTGAGTCACACGTTTTCAGTTTTTCTCATTATCTTCATCGTGCTCATGTATAATACTCATCATTATCTTCATCTTGCTCATGTATAATGCTCATCATTATCTACATCTTACTCATGTATAATGTTCATCATTATCTTCATTGTGCTCATGTATAATGCTCATCATTATCTTCATTGTGCTCATGTATAATACTCATCGTTATCTTCATCTTACTCATGTATAATGCTCACCAATATCTTCATCTTGCTCATGTATAATGCTCATCATTATCTTCATTGTGCTCATCATTATCTTCATTGTGCTCATGTATAATACTCATCATTATCTTCATCTTACTCATGTATAATGCTCATCAATATCTTCATCTTGCTCATGTATAATGCTCATCATTATCTTCATTGTGCTCATCATTATCTTCATTGTGCTCATGTATAATACTCATCATTATCTTCATCTTACTCATGTATAATGCTCATCAATATCTTCATCTTGCTCATGTATAATGCTCATCATTATCTTCATTGTGATCATCATTATCTCCATTGTGCTCATCAGTATCTTCATTGTGCTCATGTATAATACTCATCATTATCTTCATCTTGCTCATGTGTAATGCTCATCATTATCTTCATTGTGCTCATGCTCATCTTCATCGTCCTCATCTTCATTTATTATTTGTAAACATTCGAACACCGTCATCTTCACTAATATCACTGAAATGGTCAATGAAGTATTATAAATCCTCCTCACATAACAGCTTTATTTTACTTTTGTTTGGTATAATATTAGCTAAAAAATATTTCAAATTAATATTTTGACTTGTTGACTAAATTCACATACACTACATAAATAAGACAGCATAAACTTTGCACCATTCATAAAGAGAGAGAGAGAGAAAAAAGCTAATACAACAAACAAAGACTAGAGTGTTTAAAACAGCATTTCTGCAACATACAAACTTAATATCATTACTTGCTATAACATTAAATTTATAACAAAAAATAAGTTTCAAAATAAATACCGACCTTTAGAAAAGTGAAATAAGTTTTTTGTGTATAGAAGAACGCAATATCTACTCTAAAAATCATTTGAAGATCGAATAAAAAAGTAAACTCGGCAAAATGTGATTCAACGAACTAAAACCTCTTTTGAGAAGTGGTTTTAAAAAATATTGGAAAAATAAGCATGCGCAAATTTTAATATATACACTTATCAATACGACAACACCATATAAAATAATATTAAAAACTTATAAACTAATATTAAAAATTTATAAACTAATTTTAAAAACGTTTTAGATGTGATAAGTGTGTTGCATTTCTGCAATACTTTGCATTTAAAGGTTAGTAAATACATTTATTATTATATATAAGACAGTGGGTTTTGTAAAAACTCTTTTTTTTCCTCTTGTTTTTTGCAACTTTCTCTGCAAACTTATTAGTATTAGTTATTAGTAATACTTCCAAGCATCCGTATTTGTTTATTTATTTTTCGTATTTTTAAGCGTACAATAGGTACGGACCAGGGGGTGTTGTTGTCACTGATTTATTTTTTATTATTAATATATATATTTTTTTTGCTTCTTCCTGTGTTTTGATGAAAACTTACCATTATCAATAAACTATAAAAGATTTTTTTAGTTATTTAATTAAGATTCTGAATTGAAACAATGAGTAAACAGGGGGATGAAAAAAAGTTTTAAAAAAATGGTAATTGGTTTGATTAAGTTATTGCGATACCTGTATACTACATCAAGTGGGTTTGCCAACAAAGAAGAGACAAAGAAGAGAAGCAAAAGAGGGATAAGGCAAAAACGGATTCTTATCCAAATAAAGAACCTGATTATGTCACTGAAACTTGTATCGCATTCAATTTACAAGATTTAATGAAACCTAAGGTTTCATACCTTAACAATCATGTCAAAAAAGAAAGAAATTTATTAGTATTAAACTGTAAATGGGGTTGTGACGGATCACAGCAAAATCAATACAAACAGAAGTTTCTGAATAATTCTGATTCTGGTGTAGAGTTCTTTTGTACCGCTTCAATTAAATTGTACGAAAAACAAAAATTGGTCTGGCAAAATCGAACTCTTTTGCCACTTTATTGTTGCCCTATAAGAATTAGATTTGTCAAAAAATTAAATGATATAACAAATGAAGAAATAAACTTTATTGAAAATTCAATTACCTCCTTGCATGATAAAAAAATTGAATGTTTTATGCTAAGGCGTGTAACGCTGCTAACAACTGTGAGATGCTACATTTGTGGTGCAACACCAAAAGATTTTAATAATTTGACTATAAAAAAAAGTCAATCCAGATACACTAAAGTTTCAAATGTACCACTACTAGTTGCCTTCTTCAAACCATTCTGAATGCATATTCTATTTAAACTTTTGTATGCATACTGAATGTAATATAGTATACAAACTGTATTTCACAAGATGGACTGGTGCAAAGCTTCTATTGATCATTGATTACCACTGTAATCTCGATGATTGACTGTAATTTCGAAAAAAAAAAAGCTTTTGTGTAATCATTATTTATGTAGTGGTGGTAATAAACTTCTTCTCAGAATCGCGTTTATTATTACCGGCGTTTTAAAGAGGCTCAGCATTAATACCTAGTTTATCCCGTCAGATAAACATCATTGCCATTAATGCTTTACCCCGCAATTTACGCCTACTCCATTTTGCAGTAAAAAAGGGCTTTACTACAAACAGCCAAAACCCTAACTTCACCCAAATTTGTAAAGGTCTTATATTTTTGAAGAAATTATATGGAAAGTGAGAGATGTGAATTCAATACCAAATAATATAATAAATTTAAAATTAAATAAAATAATAAAAAGTAGAAAAGTTAGTCAACAAAACAAACAATAAATGAAATGTTTTTTTCTTTTAATTTTACAAAAATTACTCTAATTATAAATTTTAGCACTAGAGGCCTTTCAAAAAATCATCAGTAGTGCTGTTTTTAATACCTAGTTTATACCGTAAGAAAATATTTCGTTTATTGTTTATTTTGTTGACTAACTTTTTTACTTATTGGTTATAAACATATTTCAAGTTATATATATATATATATATATATATATATATATATATATATATATATATATATATATATATATATATATATATATATATATATACATATATATATATTATATATATATATATATATATATATATATATATATATATATATATATATATATATATATATATATATATATATATATACATATATATATATTATATATATATATATATATATATATATATATATATATATATATATATATATATATATATATATATATATATATATATATATATATATATATATATATATATATACAGTATCGGACAAAACAAGTGCAACCAAATAATACTAATTTAGTTTCTTTATATAAAAGTGCTGCATTTTTTCAATTTAGAGAAACAACTATGTAACTATTTAGAGACAACGTTCTTTAAGTTTTATTCATCACAAAGTTCATTATTTGTACACGAAAATTAATAAATTAATCAAAAGTATTAAAAAAAGTTGATTTCCTTCTGGACAAAACAAGTGCAACTCCACAAAATGTTGACCAAGCTGTATTTTGCTATCAATATTTTGTGACAAATCCTTTGTTGTTGATCACAGCCTTGCATCTTCGAGGCATAAATTCGATCAGGTGATCAATGAAACTTTGTGGAATCGCTGCCCAGGCCTTTTGGATTTGTTCAAACAGTTGATCCTTATTACGAACACCTTCACGATTAATTCTGCGGTTGACGATCTCCCACAGGTTCTCGATAGGGTTGAGATCCGGAGATTGAGGCGGCCAATCCATCACCCATAGGTGGTTGTCTTGAAACCACTGCTTGAGTCCTTTTGCAGTGCTTGCTGAAAAACCCATTTTATTGGCATATTCCATTCAGCATGAGGTAGCATAACATCGTTCAGGATATTTTTAAACATGAAACGGTCCATTATTCCATCGATTCGATGTATTGGACCTAGACCGTTAGCAGAAAAACACCCCCAGACCATTACATTGCCTCCACCATGCTTCATGGTCTTATGGCCGGGTGTAATTATATGG